AAATGCTGAGACAGTCTTTGTTCCTGGAAGATGCTGTTCAGGTCCAGTTTTCTTGTTTTGTTTTCTTTCCGAGACGGAGTCTCCCTCTGTTGCCCAGGCTGGAGTGCAGTGGCACAATCTTGGCTCACTGCAACCTCCACCTCCCGGGTTCAAGCGATTCTCCTGCTTCAGCCTCCCGAGTACCTGGGATTACAGCCATGCTCAGCCATGCCTGACAAATTTTTGCATTCTTAGTAGAGACGGTGTTTCACCATGTTGGCCAGGCTGGTCTTGAGCTCTTGACCTTGTGATCTGCCCGCCTCGGCCTCCCAAAGTGCTGGGATTACAGCCGTGAGGCATGGTGCCCAGCCCCAGGTTTAGTTTTAAGTGCTGTACACATAAGTGTGAAAGGAAAATAAATTGTGGGGCCCCTAAATCACTTAGCTGAAGGGAAAAGTCAACCTGGGAACTGCTTAGGGCCAACCTGCCTCCCATTTTATCCAAAGTCACCCCTCTCCTCACTGAGATAAATGCATCCTGACTGCCTCCTTTGGAAAGGCTCATCAGAAACTCAAAAGAATGTAACCATTTGTCTCTCATCTACGTGTGACCTGGAAGACCCCTCTTTGCTTCCAGTTGTCCTGCATCTACCTTGAGGTGTCCCACCTTTCCAGACTGAACCAATGTACACCTCACACACATTGATTGATGTCTCATGTCTCCCTAACATATATAAAACCACCACATTCTAGCCTCAACATTTGCTGGTTTCAGAAAAAAATGAAATCTTTACCCTAGTGTCTAATAAAAAAGAAGTTAAAACATAGGCACCTACTTAAAATGTCAAAACTGAAAATGCAGAGGGGTTATCTGGATCTGAACTGGTGTCTCGTTGGTCTGCAGTCCAGTACTCTACCCCTGAGCCATACCCCATCCTACTAGTGTGTGGGTTAATTAATGTCTTTGACTTGTACCATCACACCCAGATGACCAGTAACCTATGAGTTGCCACTTCACAATGGAAGCTCCTAGGAGCTGCCAGACCCGCCTGAGTGAAAACTCACTGACCTTGTGCATAACAAGAGGCAGTCCCCCTCCTCAAATACCCCAGAGCCTGTGTCTTCCCTGCCTCGAGTCCTTGCGTGCAGGTAGCAGCCTGGAAAACACTGCCGCTGGCTGCTAGAATGGCTTTCAGCATCAACCTCCAGTGCCTGTCATGGTGGGCACCTGCAAGAGAAACTCTGTGTGACTGAGGTGTCTGTTCTAACACACTAAATGACAGAGTTGGGCCTGGCTGTCCTAGCCAAGTATTCCATTCAGGGCATTTTCAACACTACTATAATCTAGGACAAAAGATGATTCTTCCAACTTCCACTTCTTCAGTTAATATCCATGGAGAATGATGGAGAAGGAGTGACTCCAAGAGAGAATTGGGTAGCTGAGTAGATTTCGGAATCCCCAAAAGCCTTAAAAGGGCCAATGCTAACCTAGTTTTAAGGACCAAAATATGTTGCCAGAGAACAATGCCACTTGACTCTTTCATTTTTTTTTTTAAACGACAGGGTATTGTATTGTTACCCAGTCTGGAGTGCAGTGAAACAATCATAGCTCACTGCAGCCTTCAACTCCTAGGCTCAAGCAATCCTCCCGCCTCAGCCTCCCAACTAACTGGGACTGTTGGGGTCTGGCACATCTGCCAGGGGGCTACCAACCCGCGGGAGTCCCCAAGACCACCAACGTAGATGTCTCGTTCAACCTGAGGGAGAGAGTGCGCAGAAGTGAAAGAAAAAAAGGAAAGTGGAGTCTGGAGGTCTGCGCAACTTATGGTCAAAACGCAGCAAGTTTATTCTTGTGGGTTACAGCTTTTATACCTTTTTTCTTGTTACATTTACTTTATCTCAGCAGAAAAGGGGTAAACAGAAAGGAAATAGAAACTCCATAAAAATAGTTATCAGGTGCTTGTGATAACCGCTCACAAAGCAGTTTAAGGGGGCTTGTGATAATAGTTTACAAAGCAGTTTGTTTTTCAAAGATACACAGTGCAAGCAAACAATGGTGCCTTTAAGGTGGCTTGTTAATCCTGTTTTCCATCAGGAGTTAGATCAAAGGCTTAGATCCAGGGAAAATATGGGCAGGGGTCTCTTGTCCCTTTTAGGCATCTCAATTGTAGCAAGTTTATTGCTTACACAGAGACTGATGGGGACATGAAAGCAGACAGCACAATGTCTTCATAAACCGCAGACCTTTGCTTTGTATTCTGTTTTTGCCTCAGTGACTCAGCCTGCGACCTTTGTCTCAGCTCAACAGCCCTTGAGAGGGGGGAGTGCATATAGGTCCAGCAGCCAAGATGGGGCGAGTCACACTAACTGTCTCAAGACCTTGGCACAAACGCTGGAACAATGCCACTTGACTCTTTCATTTTTTTTTTTTTAAGTGACAGGGTATTGTACTGTTACCCAGGCTGGAGTGCAGTGAAACAATCATAGCTCACTGCAGCCTTCAACTCCTAGGCTCAAGCAATCCTCCCGCCTCAGCCTCCCAACTAACTGGGACCACAGGTGTGTGCCACCATGCCCAGCTAATATTTTTTATTTTATTTTTTTGTAGAGAAGACATCTCACTATGTTGCACAGGCTGATCTCAAACTCCTAGCCTCAAGCGATCCTCCTGCCTTGGCCTCCCAAAGTGCTGGGATGACAGGCATGAGCCACTGTGTCCAGCCTCCCATGTGACCTTTTCTGATGGCAGACAGAGCCCTGTCCCATCTAGAAGGAACACTTGGAGTAACAATTGGGTTAGCTCCTTTTGACTTCCTCACCTGTACCAAGGCCCCACCTCTGCTCTCGTCACAGGAGCTGGGAAACTGTCCCTTCTGCGAACTGTCTTTCCCTCCTACTGGAATTTTCTCCTTTACCCACAGGCCTTTGTCTTGTAGCCCTGGCAACTTACTCAGAAGGCAGCCAGCAGCCAACCAGTCCTCTCCACTCCTGGTCCAAGGGCCTGGGAAAACCCTTATTTCCACAGTGATTGCTATGATGATGTTGAATTCCTTCAAGGAACACAGAGATGGTCACTTAAGTCCAGACTGCCTTTTGCCCCACTGCTCATGTCCTTCAGGACACACCATGAAAGCCCTAGTTCCCCCAGGAGCCATATTGCCATGGATGTAACATCTCTGTCTCCTCAAACAGGAATAAGGCCCCTTTTCCAAGGCAATCCGGGAGTAGCTCTTCCAGGCAACATGGCAGGGACTGACCAACATGTTGCTGGCTTTGAGGAAGGTGACCCTTAATCCTCTTAAGCTTCTGCGACCACTTCCCCCTTGACTTCGACATTGCATTTCAATAGGAGACGTAAAGGCTACCAGAGCGGGCGCTACTCTTAATCGCTCTCCTAGAGTTCGTACGTGTGCTACGGAGGAATCTTTCGGGAAGGCATTGTTTTTGCTTAAACACAATCAACCCCCCCACCTGGTCACATACCCCACGCTTCATGGATCAAGACCCTTTCGCATGTAATTTCTAGGACTGTAAGCCTTTAAAAGGGCAAGGATTTTCTTTGTCAGGGAGCTCTGTTGTTAAGGTATTTTCCCTGCTGCAGCTCCCTGCTGAATAAATCACCATCTGCTTCCCCGTTCGGTGTTCAAGAGGTCTGCTTACAGCCGATCCTTCAGTCTTGATAACGGAAGTAAATTATCACGCAGAGTGACCCGCAGAAAGGCCACAGTGAAAGAGGAAGCAGTAGTCTTCTACAGGGTCCCATATCAAGTAGTGAAAGGAAGGCAGGACTCAGGGACATTTGCAGAATAATCTAGTCCAATCTCCTCATTTTACATATGAGGCAAGTGCTGAGTGACTTGCCCAAGTATCTCCACCGGTTAATGACAGAACTGAGAGGTCTCCTGACTCCCCCACAATTTCCCTGGTGCTCATGTTCCGGCCTAGACAAGGCTTGAGTGTGTTCTGATAACCCTGTGGCTTTTTCTTTTTTATAATCCAGAACATTACAATGAAGCTAAGGAAGCTCAGAGTGCCTCCCCTGCACCAGCTCTGTGCCTCCTCCTAAATTTGTAATTTTGCTGAGGAAGGAGACCCAGGCACCTGGGATCAACTCCTCCTTGACCTCCACACTGCATTTCAATAGAAGAAAAGGCTGGCCACTGGCGCCTCCTGAATCGCCGTAAATAACACACTTGGTATCAGGGAAACTCTGGAAGACACTGTTTTTACTTAAACAAGATTAAACCCCCACCCCACTCCTCCATCCGGAGACCAGAACCTTTTCACATGTGATTCCTAAAGCCGTAAATCCAAAACCCATTTTCTAAGGCTGTAAACCTAAGATTCTTTCATGTGTAATAGCTAGAGTGTAAGCCTATATAAAGGCAAAGCCTCTCTTTGTTAGACGAGCTGGGTTTAGACAAATCATCGCCCAGCTCCCAGCCATAATAATAATAATAATAGTAAACCCCTTCCTTCCCTGTTCCGTGTCAGAGAGCTCTGTTTCTCGCGGCCGCTCCTGCTACATTGCGAGGCTTTTTCTTAATCATGTTCTCCCAGATTACACAAGCTTCAGACCCACAAAACTTAGGTCCACCTCTAGCAGCGGAGATGTGTTACTTGCAGGGGAAGGAATCATGCGGAAGAGCTGAAGGGAAAAAACAGGAAAATCCTGGGGCAGGTCCAGGGACATTCTACAGCTCATGGAGTGAGTAGGGTGATTTTACCCTTTGCGGGATTTACTCCAAAAGACAAAAGGATGCCAGGGGCTCCAGGAAAGAAATCTCTGAACCCCGTCATTTGAGGGGCAATCGGTGAGAGACGTGAGGCATCAGAAAACAGGTAGGTTGTGTCTGTGACCGGTAGAAGAAAGTCGGATGCAGGAGCATTGGCAACACGGTGAGTTAGGTCTTCCCCCACGTGACTCCTGGGGCAATTCCTTTTATACACACAAACAAGAATGCAACCCGGATGATGCCCGAGATAGCTCAGCCCACGCTGATGAAGAGAAACTAAGGGACAATGTTCCGATCCCGGTCCCTAGGCCTGGCAAGTCCCACAGACTCCGCACTAGGTGGCGCAGTTTCCACGGCTGGAAAGAGCCCCAGTCAGTCCAGGAGTCTGAAAGGCAATGAGCCTCTGTAACCACGTGGGAGGCCCGGTCCAAGGCGCCCTCCATCCCCAGTCTCTTAAGGACTTTTAAATTTTTATTTTTCTCTCCTTGTTTAAAAATACTATCCTTGTTATTGAAAAATTAAAACATAAATTAGAAAATGCATAAAAACGGCCTGTGGTCTATTAAACTATTTTGTCCATGTTGATATATGTATGCTTCCAAACTTTCAAAACTATAGATATGCATGTACACGGTATATAATGCTACATGATGTCATAATTTTAAAACAATAACAGGATCGTTCTGCACAGGCTTTTTCTCTTAAAATATGAACATCTGTCCATACCAAGTTCTTCCCCAAAATAATGTTCAGTAATGGTATTGCGTTCCACTGCTCATGCCATTAAAAATATTTACTGTAATAAACACATGGTAGAAAATGCTACGTGGTGTCTACCGGGGTTTACCGAATATATTCCTCCCTATTATTGGAAGTATTTATCCCATTTCAAACACAGATGGGGTGAGTTACAGCTGTCCCCCACAACAAAGAGCCCGAACCTCCAGGCCCAGGACCTCCTGCGGCAGAAGTGCTTGTTCGCGCGCCGGGACCCTGCGGGACCAGGGAGCGACCGCCTTGCCGCGGTCACCCCGGGGGCGCCCTGCCCGGAGGCCTCTGCTCTCCCGTGGACGCGGCCAGGCTGGTCCCATGAGGGGGACTCTTTTGGTAACCAAGTCACTCTGCTTGGGTCGCGGGGCCAACGCAGTGACTGTGCGCGGGCATCCGGCAGTCGGGGGAGGGGGGTGGCGAGGGGTCGGCCAGGGGTCGCGGGTTCCGCTCCTGGTAGCGGGCCAGCTCCGTGCCTGCCGTTCGCCTCCCGTGCTGCAGGTGGGGCTGTGTGGCTGCGCTGCCTCCAGGAAACCGCACGTACCTTCGTCGGCAGGCCCCGGCCCCGGCTCCCAGCATGCAGTGTGGATCCGCCGGCGCTGAAGGCGTTGGCGCAACTGCGGGCGGTGCAGGGCAGTTGCTGCCAGGGAGGAGCGGCGGCGGAGGCAGGGCGGGGCGGGCCCCGCCTGTGGAGAGCACTGGGAGGTCGGGCGTGGGGCAGCGCACGGCGGCGGCGGGGCTGCGGTTCAGGTAAGGACGACCTGCGCGCGGCTTGGGGCCCCGGGGCGGCCTGGCAGTAATACCGCGCTTGGGGCTCCGGGGGACCTACTGCTCTTGCCGGCCGGGCCCCCCAACTCCAGTCCGAGCCCGAGCGCCGGCAGAACGGTTGTCCCCGCGCCGGGGCCGCCCTACGCCAAGTGGTGGGCTGTAGGGGAAGGAGCGTCAGGGGGCCGCCCGGTACCGCTGCTCACCCCTCCTGGCGTTCTGCTGTGCGCCTCTGTGATTTGAGCGGGGCTTTGAGGGAGGCTCGGATTTCATGAGGTCGAGCTAGACGGGTGGAGCTTTCAGGGAGGAGGATTGCGCAGAGAGACGGGACAGAGCAGGGCGTGTTCAGGTGAAGAGGGAAATTTAATAATAATAGCTGTAATTGCTGCATAATAAAGTTTACTGTGTTGTATTCGATGTAAAATCTAACCCTTACCTCTGCTGGAAATTAACTAACTCCCTGTAAAACCTACCTTATCTATTCTCCCCACATTCTCAGCAAAGTTCCCAGGCATCTCAAGACTCCTGTTTTCCTTGCTGACCAGCTGCAAGGTCACAGGGGAAGTTAACACCCAAAGAATGTACAGTATGTTTCTCAAAATGCTGTTTTCAAATGTAACATACATCACAAGACATGTTAGAAATTAATTAACTGTTCTTTGTTCTAGCTTCTGTAAACCTGTTAGCTGCTAAGTCATCCTGCATGTATAAAAGTCAAGCCCTGTCTTTGTTAGGCGCTCAGCCTTGGGATGTTAATCCGCTGAGCCTGTGGCCACTTTAATAAAATCCTCTTGTTTCACCCATTGGTCTGTCCAGTCTCGTGAATATTCTGCAACGCAGGAACAGAATGGAGTCTCATGAGCCTGGAGAAGATGCTTTTAGTTTGGAGGCAGTGGGAGAGGAGGCTGCAGAGACTAGGAAGGGGCCTGCATGCCGGGACTTGATCCTGCGAGTGGGCGGCTGGTTAGGGTTCTGGCTCCTCTTTACCATCAGCTTCTCTCAAGCAAAGAGTTTGGGCTCCCCTGGCAGGAATCTAAGGACAGCCCCACATGTTCCAGCCACCAGTCAGTAAGAAGCTGGGCTGGAATGGGCAGCGCACAGTCACCACCTCCCACCACATAGTGTGGAGGCCTCACACAGGGCTTCCCGGCCCCATCACAATTGTAAGAAAACCGTGCATCCTGTTGTCCATGTGTAAAAGATGAATATTGTCCTGATAAAGTAGTTTATGCAGAGGTCCCTTTCATGCCACACGAAGACTGTAATGCACTTGGAGGATGGGTAGGATTTCAGTGGATGGGGAGCTGGTGACCAGGTGCGAGGATGCTTCTGGAGTAAACTCTTGGCGTCTGCGATCACGTGACAGGGATTGATCTGAGAAAGGAGAGGCGAGGGAAGGAACAGTAGCCTTAGGTGGAGGGCAGACTCAAGCCCAGAACCAAGTTGGGCCACCCAGGTGCCTGTGGGACCTATTCTTTGAGAGCAAGACCCCACCTACATCCGGGTTTTTGCCTAGAAACAGTTCTGCCTGTCCAGAACCTCCTAGCCTTGAAGACCCCTTAGAGTCCTGCCTTCTTTGGATCCTGCTTCCTTCCAAACAGCCAGGCTTTTGACTGCCGTCCTGGACAAGTTTTTGTGGGCCTCTGCTGAAACTCTCCCTTTGTCTCTATTTTTTGAGGTGTCTGTTTTCATTCTAGTTCTCAGTGACTTTCTCTAAGTGAATCCACACTGGTTTCTAGTAGCCACTTCTTCATTTTGCGAATAGTCATTAATCTCTAGTTGAGGGATTATTTTGCAGAATGTCCTAAGGCAGCATCAGTCTTTGGGCATGGATACTGGGAGCTCCTCTCTGCCCTCTCACCTTCAGATACGGGTGGCTCAAGTAGTCTGGTTTGCCACCTAAGGCAAAATGTGCCTGTTCTTCCTTGTCACCAGCTGCTGGTCACTAATACGCCATGTGAATGTTTCCAATGACAAGGAAGCCCCTCCTCTCTAACTAAGATGGTTATTGCCCATATGTAAGTGTAACTTTGTGGCATATGTCAATTTTTCTCACCAGACTGCAGGGCATGTCACTGCTCCTGGTGCGGCTGCGAACATGTCTGAGGCCATTGTTTTAACCTTGAGAGGGGTGGGGATTGGGAAAGAGAAAGAATCTTGTGGGGCTCATGCAGTGTCAAAAACCTAACTGGCCAATGGAGGTTTGCAGTCGTGGGGATTTTAGCTTGTGGGGGAGGGGTAGATGAGAAGGGACAAAATGAGACTGTCCTGGAGGAAGAGGAACTGGCCATTAGATTTTTATGTTTATTAACAGAGGACATAAAATGCTTTAAAATAAAAAATATTGAGCAATACTCTTCTTTGCGCCGTTTCAGTGAACCAGCTGTTTTTTTTGCTGGGTCATCAGTAGTCAGTTAGTGTGTAATGAAGACAGGAGGGGCAGGCTAGGCTCTAGTAAATCTGCAATTTACCATTTCTCCACTAAAATGCCCAGCAATGCTAAGTCACTGTTTACATAGCAAAATTGCACTGGGGATTGGTGTGAAAAGATGCAGTACCATGTTCAGGGAGCCCACAGTTGTAAGTGTGGGGAGGAAATGACTGTGTAGGGTGCTGAGTGCCATGATAAAGGTCCACACTGTGCTGCAGAGGCCTGGAGCAAGGGCACCCACCCACACATAGACCTAAGATACCCAAGCATTGATTGCCAACTTGAGATCTGGCATGTGGTACGGGATGGCCCCACTTGTCCACACATACGGGCTCCCAGCCCCGCTCCCCTGTGCTTAGGGGGAGAGGGGCTCAATGAAGACAATGGGTGGAATGAATGATGCTGTTTCTCTCTTGTTTCTGAAAGATTTCTCCGTGGACAATGGCAGCCACGATTCAGGCCATGGAGAGGAAGATTGAATCACAGGCTGCTCGCCTGCTTTCCCTAGAAGGTCGAACTGGGATGGCTGAGAAGAAGCTGGCCGACTGCGAGAAAACAGCCGTGGAGTTCGGGAACCAGCTGGAGGGCAAGTGGGCCGTGCTGGGAACCCTCCTGCAGGAGTATGGGCTGCTGCAGAGGCGGCTGGAGAACGTGGAGAACCTGCTTCGCAACAGGAACTTCTGGATCCTGCGGCTGCCCCCGGGCAGCAAGGGGGAGGCCCCCAAGGTAGCCCTGGGATGCCCTGGGGTGTGGGAGCCCAAGGGGCAAAGCCTGTGAGTGAGTGAATGTGACACTTGTGGTTTCAGGTGCCCGTGACCTTTGATGATGTGGCCGTGTATTTCTCCGAGCAGGAGTGGGGCAAGCTGGAGGACTGGCGGAAGGAGCTCTACAAGCATGTGATGAGGGGCAACTACGAGACGCTGGTCTCCCTGGGTAAGGCCTGACACTCATTTCTCTGTTAAATGGGATTTTGCAAGTCCTCAAACTTCTCTCTCCACATAGTTGTTTCCTGGCAGTGATATGTGAATCACCAGAAACATTGTTTACCTTGCAAGTTGTTACCCCCTGTGAAAGATGAGCCCTGGGTGATGGAATCAAAAGCTCCCTTCTCCCTGTGCAGAGGGTCCCAGAATGCCAGGATAGGAAAGGTGGCGGTGTCTCTTCTCTGCAGGCCCAGGGTGTGGACCTTTCTGTTGGTGCTGACTTGGAGCAAGGAAGGCCCCTCCTGCTCTCAGATCCAGTATGTAATCCACTCACATTTGAGAAAGACTCTTTCTTTCAGCCTTCTCCCACAGAGATTTGTGGCCCTTACGGTGACATGCCTCAAGGTCAGTGGATAACGTGGGCAGACGGTGCTGCTTGCAGCAGACATTTTCTTCATGCCTCAAAACTCTGCTTCCCTCAGCCCCTGGGGCTACTGCTGCTCTCCTCCTTTGATCCTGCCCAGGAAGGGCCTGGACTCTGTTTCTTCCTGGGCTGATTTCCTCTTCCTGATGGTTTCTGTGTGACCCCAGAGCTGAGGGCAGTGAGACCTGATAGAGAGGACAGGAGCAGGTACAGTCGTGAGGTGACATTTCATCAGCACAAGTGTGCCGCTGTTTCACATGCACGTTCTGTGGCAGTTTCTTCACTCTGGCACTGCTGACATTTGGGACCGGGTGATTCTGGGTCGGGGCCGTCCTCTGCGTTGTAGGATGTTCAGCAGCAGCCCTGGCCTCTACCCCCTAGATGCCAGTCACCTCTCCCCAAGCCCTGGGCACAGCGATCAGAATTCTGTCCAGACTTTGCCGCACGTCCCCGGGAGGAAAATTGCCTGTGACTGAGAGCTCCTGCTCTATGACGATCAAGAGATTTCCTTTCTAGACCACTGTTGGTTTTCCGGGCTGACTGTCCCCAGCTCTGACTGGAACGAGGTGAAAACTAACCTGTCTTTCCTCAGACTATGCCATCTCCAAGCCCGAGGTCCTCTCCCAGATTGAACAAGGGAAGGAGCCGTGCAGCTGGCGCTGCCCCGGCCTCAAGATTCCAGATGTTCCTGTGGACCCCAGTCCAGGTAAGGGCTGGGAGAAGGCCAGGGAGGCATCAGGTGATCTGCGGGAGACAGACGGAAAGGCCAGGAATGGTGTGATTTTCCCAGAGAGAGCCGAGGAGACACATCAAACTTACTTGTGTTTGGTCTGAGTTTTTTTATAGTGGAGTTTTAACCTCTGACTTACTCAGCTAATGCTCCAGGAATGAACACTTTCTATCAGGGAAACAGGTGGCAAACCTACTCTTTTAGGAAGAGTCAAAGCCAGGGCACAGATGACAGGAGGGAGAGGAGGACACTGAGAGGGAAGGCAGGAGAATAGTCGACTCTTGAACAACACGGGGACCAAGGGTGACAGACCCCAATCCCACGCAGCCCAAGGTCTATGTCTAACTTGACTCTCCAGAAAGTTAACTGCTAATAGTCTCCTGTTGACCAGAAGCCTTAATGATAACTATGTATAGTCAATAATACATAATTTATATGTCCTGGTTACTATGTATTGTATTCTTTAAATAAGCTACAGAAAAAATGTTAGGAAAACAAGGAAAAGGAAATATGTTTACTACTCATTAAGTGGAAGGGGGTCCTCATAATGTCATCATCCTCAGCGTCATCTTCAGACTGAGTAGGCTGAGGAGGGAGAGGAGGGGTTGCTCTTGCTGTCTCAGGGGTGGCAGAAGAGAAGGAAATTCACTTATCAGTGGGCCTGCATAGTTCAAAACCATGTTTTTCAAGGGTCAGCTGTATATTGAAACCAAGATTAATTCAAAGCTTTGCAGAGAGTCAGCCTTGCCTCAGAGAACCATTCTCAATTAATTGATGAATTAATGTATTTATTTTTAATTTGAGATGGAGTCTCCCTCTGTCGCCCAGGCTGGAGTGCAGTGGTGCTGTCTTGGCTTACTGTAATCTCTGTCTCCTGGGTTTAAGCAATTCTTCTTCCTCAGCTTCCCAGGTAGCTGGGATTACTGGTATCTACCTTCATGCCCAGCTCATTTTTGTAGTTTTTTAGACTCAGGGTTTCACCATGTTGGCCAGGCTCGTCTTGAACTCCTAATCTTAGGCCATCTGTCTGTCTTGGCCACCCAAAGTGCTGGGATTACAGGTATGAGCCACTGCGCCCATCTTCAACCTGAATTTAGAGCAGCGGCAGTTGTAGAACATAAACCCATTGGTCAGCCGTATGGTTCGGTTGATTTAGAAGCACACATTTATTTAAGGTGAATCTGGTTACCAGATACCAGTGTCTCAGATTTCCCTGGAGCTGCTCAGCACCTTTGAAAGTTAAGAGAAAGACAGGTGGGCACAGGAGAAAACGAAATTCCTAAAGTGAAGTGAAGACCTGCTGGGTCATTTGACCAGGGAGACCACATCTCTGGCAGGCTGGACCCCTGATTCCTCCAGAAGACTCGCCCTTGACCGTCCCACCTGCCTTGGTTTTCCCTTTCGTCTGAGACTGAGAAAGGTGGTGTTATGCAGGGGCCTCCTGCACTCCACCTGTGTGAAATTAAATGCGGCTCCCATGTTTGTCATCTCATCTCAATTAGATTGGCACTTTCTTAAGGGCAGAAGCATGTTCCGAGCGGGCCACTTTGCCAGTCGTCATCAGGACATTCACAGTTTAGTTCCACAGATGCATTTTGAGCATCTTCTAGGTGTCAAGGACAGTGCTGAGCGCTAGAGGACAGAAAGATGGCTGAGAACAGATAGCCTCAGGCTGGAAAAGAGGGTTACAACCCAGGCGCGTCCAGCCTCCTAGCCTGGGTGGGAGGTTCTCAGTGGGTGGGTTTCATTGTGTTTACACTGTGTGTGGAGGCTGCCCTCGCTTCCACACCATCATTAAATGAGAGTAAAGAAGTCCCCCAAATTATGTTGGTTGCTGGTAAGATCCCGCCACACTCTGTCTGCATCGTATGATGTTTAGCAGCATCCGTGGCCTCTACCCACCAGTAGACAAGATGAACAGAGACAAACTCCACTGTCCACCTTGAGCCTGTCAGCAGGGATCCTGTGTGGCCTTTATCCCTGTCCTCTTGGTCCAAGAAACCAGGAATCACAGCGCATCCTTTGCCATGTTTGGCCTGGCCCATCGCCTTGTGAGACCTCACCTCACCTTCTCACCTCCTGCATGCTCCTCCGCTGAGCCTTATGGGACTCAGGGCTCAGCAGGCCTGCCAGGTTCTGAGTGTTCCCTGCTCGGACTGAGCTCCAGGGAACTGCAGCCATCCTTTTCCCTGCCTCCCTCAGCCCGGGCCTACTGGGGACAGAGTCCTCACCCCTCATGATTGCACTTCTGATACCCTCACTCTCTCCCTGCCTCTGTGTCTCATTTCTCATATTTTTGCTGCCTCTGCAGACCTTCCCTCTCTTGTCATTCTTCCTGCTCTCAGTCATGGCCGTGGCAGCCTCCATGCAGATAGTTCTGTGCCCCCTTCCCCTGCCCATGGCCATCCATGACTGTGATGACAGTGACTGCACCCTCCTCCCCGACCCTTTCCATCTCCAGCACACCACTCCCGGGCTGCCTCCCACCACCCCTCCAGTTCCCTGTCTGGTGTCCTGATTCCAGCAGTTTTCCAGCCCTTCAGGACCTGCAGGCCATCGATCTTGCTGCCTTTTCACTGCCTTGCTTATCATCTCCCTCCATGCCCACCACTGTGATCCCTGCTTGTACACAGCCTCAGTGTCCTTCCCTTCTGTTGTTCATTGTATCTGCCTGGTGAAATCCATCGGCACTCTACACCTGCAGCCAAGCAGCTGCACGTGGCTGCAGAGAACCAGGCAAGCTGGCTGCTGGTATCACGTGACATCCACGACCAGTGACTTCAGTGGGCGCTCTGCCACACAGTCGCACTGCGTCTCCCTAGCCCAGGGGCCGCCGCCATACTGTGGCTGAGGACCAAACCTAGCTTATCTGTTTCTGTATGGGGCATGCCTGAGAACGGTTTTATATTTTAACCCCCCTTTTTTAATTAAAGAGAAATACACCACTCACAGCCCTCCCCACGTCATCTGGCTGCACCTGTGCCCCCTTCTCTGCCTTCACTCCTGTGACTGCCGAACTGTTGACTCTCCAACCAAAGCTGCACTTCCACCTGGTGCTGCATCCCAACCCATGCCACCTTCTCCAGAGCAACACAAGCAATCCTGCCTTGACCCCTACCCCTGCAGCCACTGCCTGCTTCTCTGCTCCCCTTGGTGATTTTTTGTTTTTTTGTTTTTTGCTGTTGTTTGAGATGGAGTTTTGCTCTTGTTGCCCAGGCTGGAGTACCGTGGTACAATCTTGGTCACCGCAACCTCTGCCTCCTGGGTTCAAGTGATTCTCCTGTCTCAGCCTCCTGAGTAGCTGGGATTACAGGCATGTGCCACCACTCCCAGCTAATTTTGTATTTTTAGTAGAGATGGGGTTTCTCCATGTTGGTCAGGCTGGTCTAGAACGCCCGACCCTAGGTGATCTGCCCACCTTAGCCTCCCAAAGTGCTGGGATTACAGGCATGAACCACCACACGCAGCCTCATACTTGTTTTTAATTTTAAAAAGTATAGCCATCCTAGCAGGTGTGAAATGGTATCTCACTGTGGTTTTAATTTGCATTTTCCTAAACTAGTAATTACGTTGAATATCTTTTCCCTTATTGGCTATTTGTATATCTTCCTTGGAGAAAGGTATATTCAAGTCCTTCACTCATTTTTAATTGGGTTGTCTTTTTACTGTTCAGTTGTTATACTCTAGATACTAGACCCTTATCAGATTTGTAATTTGCAAACATTTTCTTCCATTCTGTCAGTTGTTTTTTTCACCTTCTTAATAGTGTCCTTTCATGCACGATATTTTTTAACTTGTCTCTTTTTTGTGTGTTTTTGGTATTAACAGTTAAATTATTTTCTAATCTAAGAGGATAAAGATTTACAACAGTGTTTTCTTGTAAACGTGTTACAGTTTTAGCTTTTATATATTGAAGGCATAGTAAGTCCTCACGTCTTGGCTGTCTTCAGAAATTTGCATTTCTACATAAATTTTAAGATCAATTCGATTATTTTATCAAAGAAATTAAAATATCAGTTGGATTTTCATTGAGATTATGTGAATTTATAGATCAACTTTGGAAGAGGTAACATTTCTACAATATTGAGTTCCCCAAATGATGAATATGGTATATTCCTTTATTCGTTTATATTATCTTTAAATTCTCTTCCAATCGCATTGTAACATTCACTCTAGAGGACTTCTATAATTTTTGTTATTTTTAGTATTAGACATTTGACTTTTCAAATGTATATACGATACATTTTCATCTTATTTTCTACGAGTTTGTTGCTAGTATTCAGAAATACAACTAAGTTTTGTCCTGGGTCGAGTTCAAACTGATGTGCTGGCTGCAAAACTCTAGGGAGAGGGCTTCAGTTTGCTGGACTTTGTGGGGTGGGACCTGCCTAGCCGAGCACCTGTTTCCCTTCTTTCTGGGGGTCTGGTAGTTCTGTTCCACAAGCGTTCTCTTACTTAGTCAAACCTTCTGCCCAGATCTGTGTTGATAGCGCGCGCTTTTCAGCCCGGCGGCGCTCTCCTGTGCTGTGGGTTGCAGAGGCCACGGGGTAAGAACAGTATCTGGACTAGAGTGCCAAGGGGTATGGTCCCCGATCCTCTTCTTTTTGGGGGTCGGGTAGTTCTGTTCCACAAGCATTCTCTTACTTAGTCAAACCTCCTGCCCAGGTCTGTGTTGATAGCGCGCGCTTTTCAGCCCGGCCGCGCTCTCCTGTGCTGTGGGTTGCAGAGGCCACGGGGTAAGCACAGTATCTGGACTAGAGTGCCAAGGGGTATGGTCCCTGATCCTCCGGGACAGTTGCACTTCCTGGGTGGGACAGTGCCCCACCCTGCTTCGGTTAGCCCTTTTTGGGCTGTTCCCACTGTCCGACCATTTGGACCAGTCCCATTGAAATGAACCTGGTACCTCGTTTGGGAATGTGGAGATCGCTGGCCTTCTGGGTGTCTCTCACCGGGAACTGCTCTCTGGAGTTGTTCCT